TTATCCTTTATTCTAAGGTATGACGTATGAATTCATCACTTAATGTGTAATTTTCATGTTTTCTAATAACTTTATTAAATTTTCATCTAAAGCCTAGAATTGATTTTACACTGAAACCTGTTGGTGGAAGTTTAACCACCATTCTTGGACTTGCTGATATGATTTACATAATTTTGATTATAAATGGTAACATATGTTTTTTTTTTGTAGGATACTGTAAATACTATAGTTGCATATATATGCTTCAATGGCCCTACATGATTATTGTTTTTATTGGTGGTGTACCTATGGATACAAGGAGATATTGGTTTTCAATTAGTTCGCAAATTCTGGTGGAATCCTATAGGATCATAATTTGTGGTTCCATCGCATATTGTGTTTGGTAGTTAAATGGACGAAATCCAATTCCACCAGCTTCTTTTAGTTTCCAAGTTTAATGCTTTTTACAAGTCCTAGATATGGTTTGAACGAATTCAATTCAATTCCATTCTTTCTTTTTCATTTATAAAAAGAAAACTATCATCTTTATATATTTAAAAAAAAAACTAAGTGATAAAAATGTACATATTTATACACATTTACATTTTATCAATTAAGTGATGAAAATGTACATACACACATTAACATTTTATTGATTAAGTGGTGAAAATATACATAATTTTCGATCAATGATGATTTCACATTAAATGTCAGATCATCCGTCTTTGGGCTTTTAAGTCCAAATATGATCTGAACGATACATATTCGATAATGATTTTAATCGACAAGGTGGTATAAAACAATTATCTTGAATAGTTATTTTTGTTGCAATATTTTCATATCCTTATAGATTGTGATAATTTTTCTGGATCTTCACATGGATTTGATTTTATTGATTTTAAGTTGGTGTTACTAAAAAGGGCTATCTTTGCAAGTTTTGCAAACCACAAGGACCATTTACATCAAAAAAGTTAGTAGTAACCGACTTTGTGATTTTTGACATATCACAGGGACCATTTTTGTAATTTTGTCCCATGAATTCACTTTTTCAAACAAACTTCAAAAATGGTCCCTATGGTTTATCAGATGTAACAAATTCAATCATTTTATACTTGAAAAAACGAAAATCCTCTTATAGATTCAGTTCCTAACGGCTGAATACTAACGGTGTTGGTAAAAAGGGATATATTTGCAAGTTTTGCAAACCACAAGGACCATTTCCATCAGAAAAAATTAACAGAGACTGACTTTATGATTTTTGATAAACCATAGGGACCATTTTTGTAATTTTGTCTTTTGTCTTTTTTTTTTTTTTTTTTTTTTTTGTATGTCAGGGACTAAAACCGAAACAAACTACAAGGATGGTCCGAATGCTAAAAAAAATAAGAACAAAACATGAAATTTTGATAAACCATAGGCACGATTTTAGTTAGGGATGTGCGTTTGGACTGAATACCCGAACCGACCCAAATTAGGACCGAATAAGTTATTTGGGTCGGTTCTCGGGTATCTATTTTTGCCTAATTTGGGCTATTCGGTTCGGATTAGCCGAATAAAAGTTTAATCGGGCCAAAAAGACCGACCCAGAAAGTGAAGTCACTTGAACCGTACAACCCAAATAAACCGGAATGACCTGAATAACCCAAATAAACCAAAATGACCCGAATAACCAAAATAAAGAAAATTTATATTTAGTTCACGAAAAAATATATTAATTTAATATTTTTTTTCTTGAACTAGATATACAATTTCCTTATTTGGGTTATTCAGGTAATTTCGGTTTATTTGAGTTATTCGAGTTATTTCGGTTTATTTGAATTATTCGGTTCAAAACATAGTGTAAATGTTTGTTTGGGTTATTTCGGTCCTTTCGGGTTAATAACCGAACCGAAACCCGTATTACCCGAACTGAACTGGTCTGTATTAGTGTAAATGTTTGTTTGGGTTATTTCGGTTCCTATTTTTCATCCAATTCAAGTTTCGGGTTATTCAGGTTCGGCTCGATTCTGGACCCAAGCATCCCTAATTTTAGTAATCTGTTCAATATTTTATCATCATATTTTATCAACCCAGAAAATAATTTTACACGTTGACTATTAATTCAGATCTTCAATAAATTTTTTTTTTTTTTGGTAATGTTTAAATGCTAAGATGTAATACTTTGTTTTTCGTTGCAAAATGTGGATTTGAAGGGCATTTATCAGATAATGGATTGAAGGCCGTTATTGTTCTAACAACGATGTGCATTTCGTAACACGTGTAACTTGCCACATCTCTCATCTTCTTGTTGCATCCACAATCAAATCCCTAATTTCACTTCCAGCTCAACTTCACCAATGTCTCGCCTTCTTCCAATCAGACCAATCCTCATTATTGCTCTGCTTCTAGCTGTAGCTGTTGTTGCCCACAGTGGTGGCGTTGATCACCATGGAGTTGCAGGTGGTGATGGCGGAAGCGGAAGCAAAGGTTCGCCATTTCCGGTAGCTAATGGTGGTTCGCCCATGTCGAGAAGTAACAGGGACAACAGCACTGGTGGTCTTAATAAGAGCGATGCATCTTCCTACTCCGTATCGCCTTCCTCTATTAAGCTCATTTGCCTCTTGGCCTATGCGTCGTTTTCCTAATATATTGCTTGCTTGATAGCTGCTTGTCTTCTTTCAATTGATTTGAATCCTTGTGATATTAGTACAACTTGTCTATTTCTTATAATTTAATTTTTTTTATGTTATGCGTAACGTGTACATGATATCTCTGAAAGTTTCAACTTTTAACGAACCTATGAAACTTTCAACGAACCTATTGTCCATTGTTATATATGATATGGAATTTAACAACGAACGTTTTATGAAAATCTTAACTCCTAATATCTGTCTTACTTGGGCAACTTCAATTCCGGTCGGCAGTCGGCCAAATCTTTGGGTGTTGAACGGGATCAAGTTTAAATGGATGTTAATAATATTCCTCCCTAATATTCTAAAACAGATTAAGCTGTCATGATGCGATGCGTAGGCCAATTTCAGGAACCAACAAGTTTTGTTTAGTCTATGTTCATAATCTTATGTATCTGTGGTGCAACAGAAAAATGGTGAATCTATCTTCGAATATTGTCATCTACGGAAACTATTTTTTAATTCCACTGTTCCAGAAAAACCATTATTTGTAAAAATATTGTTCCTGTTTTTGTTGTTTTTTTAACACAAGTCATTTTTCCTTATATACTATTATATTTTGAAAAACTCTTCATCTTTTATAGAAAGCTTGGAGGTTTTTTTTTTGTAATATCATAAAAACGATTATTTGTATGGTCTTATTTCGTTGTAACTCCGACTTTTTTTATATACCAATTTATGTTTTTATAAATTTCATTTTTCTGGGCTTGTATTTAGCCCTAACATTTATTTGTTCAACATTTGCTAATAGTTTTGAGTAACTTTTTTATTTTTAGCATTTGAACTTTAAAAACATAATGGCTTATAATGAAAGAGGAAGAGGCGCCGAAGACAAGAGTCGAATCTGCGGCCTCTCTCCATGAGGGATAAGGGGTGTTAGTCGGTGAATCCATAGCTCTCTTTGTTTTAACATAAAAAGCTTCTCAAGTTGTGCGATACAATCATAATTCGAATCAATAGGTACCTATTACCATAATTGGTATATTTAACAAACCAGGATAGTCTAATAAAATTTAATTTGAAAGTGCATGTTGTAATAAAAATATATGAAAGTACAAAACTTTAATAAAGAAAAAAAATAAAATGTTATTTCTTACATTTAACTCTTAAAATTATATGTGCTTATTGAAAGGTTTTACGAGGCATTACTAACTAAAGTAAAGGGGTTGAGTGATGATTTTAAGAAAATATAAAGACAAAACTATAAAGTTGATCCTGCGGTATTCAAAAAACTTTAGATAGGATCCAAAAAGTTTCCGACTTGCATGGAAGGTTCAAAATCAGAAATTTTCTGTGATTTTAGTCCTAAAAAACTTGAAATATCTATTTTGCCCTTTTAATTTCTTGTTTGTATTATTTTACCATTTTCTTAACAATTTAATAATTAAAAAAATAAAGAATTGCCCCACTCACCCTTTACTCTAACTGTACGCACCATTTATCTCTCTCTCTCTCTCTCTCTCTCTCTCTCACACACACACACACACATATTCACACATCCGGTCATCTTCCTCATCCCTTCTATTATTTCTACCTCATCCATGGCTGATTCAATTCTTTGTTACACTAATAAACCAATTCACACCATTGTAAATCTTGTAAAAAAAAACTTTGAATAATTATTATCTCCATCAGATTGGACAAGGAACAGACGAATGAAAGGCACATCGACGAGAGCTGAGGTGCAGATGAGAAATCGCAAGGAAGGGCAAGGGGGTCCGTTGAGACCGTCGACCCTTTGTGGGTTTACTCTTCGTCTTCACTGATCGGGAAAGGGAAGAAGGAACACCAATGAAAGCAGTCAAAATGGTGATATGGTGGTCAAACAGATCGCGAGAAGGAGTCGATCTCCGACGAACTCCCCTAGTCTCTTCGCTCATTGTCGGCAGCCACAAATCGAAGGGGATTTTTTGGGCCGAGCGATTGCAAAAGCCGGCTAAGACTGGAGATTGCAAAACCCGGCTAAGACAGGAGGGAATGGGAGGGATGTTTCCCTCACTTTTTGTAGGTCACACCACCATTTCTCTTACTTTCCTTTCCCTCACCTAAAACTTAAGAAATTGGTGGGAAGCTTCCCTCACTATTTTTTTTTTTATAAAATATATTTCATACATATATTATACTCATTTTGTAGGGAATTAAAAACCATAAATCTTAATATACTTTTTATATATTTTTTAATAGGTATATAATTTTATAAATATTAAAAAAAATTAAAAAACTACCCAATAACATGAAGAAAGAGAGTGCGTCACCCCTTCCCCACCTCTTTCACGGGGTTTGCTTCCCTCACCCAGGGATGGTGTTCCAGTTTGAGGGAAGCTTCCCTCTCCCCTTTCCTACTATGATACCGTCCGACCTAGGCCTAATGAATGATGATGATTGCCTAAGAGAAGATGAGAATGGGCGATAGATCGACAGTGGCAGCGGACAAGAGCGACACATCTTCATACTCCTACCAGTAGCAACTTCTTCTTTGCTATCTTTGCCTGTGCGTCTATCTCCTTAATATTTCGCTTGATTCATCTATCGCACTTGATATAGCTTGTCTAAATTCAAATAGTTCGATTGTCATCTTTGGTATAACTTGTCTATTCCATTATAATTTGATCAATGTATTGCACTTATGAGTTATGAGTAATTTATACCTAGTGTTGGTATCTCTCTAACTTTTCAACTTTTATGGAAACAATAGTCCATTATAATGAACTAAATTCAACTAACCAAAGTGCTATGAAGATCTGATCCAAGTTTATCCGTCTCACAAAGGCAACTCAAATAAATCTTTGGGTGTCGAATCAAATCATGTTCAAATACATGATACATTTGTATATGAGTCATTTTCTACATACACAAACCCAACCCCTATTTGTTGCAATTCTACCTCAAATCGTATGGTATAATTCCTAAAATTTCATTAAATTATAGTGGTACAACAATGGCTATCATCTTTCTTTCTTAGTTTCATTGGATTACAGGGCAACCTGGAACGTTGATACCAGGGACAGAAGGACAATTTGCCAATGGACAATGGTCATCTACCTCCAAACCCCACCACTCCGGTCCATTAATATTCCTATTTTGTAACACCAAATAGCAAAGAATCGCCATGAATGCAACACCAGCATCAAGCCCAGCTGACAATATATAATTATGCCTTGCCCACCAACTCTTGAACCTCTTATAAACAACAAAATTGAAGAACATCCCCACAGCAAACCACATATTATAGTTTACTGCTTTAGCTGGTGGCCCTGGACAGTTTATAAGGATAGGTATGTTCACAAGCCTCGGCCATTTCCACTCTGGAAACTTGCGAGAAAGGAACCAAAAGGGCACAGGTGCAAGAATTCCAAACAGAAAGAAGTAGTTCATCTTTGAGTATAACCCTAGGTTCCCAAACATACGTTGTGGGCCCACCAATCCCCATATAATTGAGGCGTTGTAGAAAACATCATCTCCTGGGCACGTCCATGGGCTTCCCTTTGGTAGATTAATGGGGTCACAGATGTATTCCACTGTTGTTAGGAGCCACCATGATGTTGCAAAGTAGACAGAGGATGCGATGATTGTACCTACCAACTTTTAGGAAAATGAATTCACAAATTAAAACAATTTTATGATAAAATTTTGTGTGAAAAAATCAAAGATTGTCTTTTTAAAAGAGTCCTTATGGAGAATGGGAGACTTAGAAGGTGATTGTTGTCAGGTTTTGAACCTAAGACTTACTTATAGATTTTTACCTGCTTACTGTTAGGACAAACATGTTAGGACTGTAGATTTTTGTACCTGAACGATGAACATGGACTTGGGTGGGATTTTCATATAATGGCCGAGCTTAAAATCTTGGAGAAACGTTATGGCTTGCCACATACTGTTGTCACCATAGGTTTTGAACACCACATTGGCTAGTGGCCTCCCTGGGTACATATACCCTATGATTAGCTCTGTGATCACGTTTAGACCTACTCCCTGTAAAAAAAAGAAATCCAAAAATTCACCAATTATGACAAATGAAAAAAAAAAAAAAAAAAGTAAACGCCACCAACAGGTCCCACAGACAACATAGGTGAGGTCTCAGGTTCATAGTGTTAAACCTGAGACCTCACTTATGGATTGTTACCTCCTTTTTGCATAAAACGGATAGTTACCTGGTTTGTGGTAGCTACAATAACACCAACGGGCAAGGTGAATATGGCAGCCAAACCAATTGCTAAGATAATTCCCCAATAAGGAAGCTGCAATTGCCTCCCAAATCCTTCACAAGTAAGCAAAGCAAGTCCTATTACTAATACTAGAAGAGTGTGAAACCACCATTGTGGGACAGAATCATAGTTTCTCTTCATCAACCTTGTATGCACATCCCCAATACTCTTCCTCATTGACGCCTTCGTTTGTTCCAAAATTGTCCTTTATTTAACATAACAAGATTTCAAGAAAAAAATTAACAACCTAAAGGACTTCATATGAATCTTTATTCAAGATTAAATACTAAATAGTAAATACCTCCCATGGAAGAGAAGGACATGGGATACTGTGGCAGCTAGTGTAGCAAAGCTTAGACCATAAGCAAGTACAAACAAGATACTAAGGTTGACTTTTCCATATTCATCATATCCCGCTTGATTAAAGGAGAAAGACGTTTCGTTCAAAACTTTAGAGACATTGTACTTTGTTCCATCAGCATTGTATGTCTTGAAAGCATACATAGGAAATCGTCTAGCTTCATACCAGTTATTCCAATAAGCTACGGGAATTATTATGTAAAAAGTGATTACATAGCCAATTAGCATATTCACCATAGCGAATCCAGGGGTGGCTAATGGACTTCCTAGGAAAGAAGCAACTGTGGCCCAATCAAGCCCAAAAGCTCCGATTCCAAAACCTTTAAGACCAGAACCAATTTGTTGAGCTTTGAAGGAATCTTTCCATATCCAGCATACGAAAGAGAGGGCTGTGATGGATTGAAAGAGATAATTCGGAACCACGTAGTATGAAAAGCTACTTATAATCACTATCATGAAGAATTGAAGCCTTGAAAGTCCCCCCTTTGCCCTCTTCTCTTCCTCATGCAAAGCCCTTCAAAAAAAAAAAAAAAACAGTTTACTTAATTCCAATTCCAAATCCAACATTAATATATTAATATATACTACCCATTAACCTGAAGAGAGAGACTTGAACTAGAGTTGAAGGCCACCACATATATGGAGAGTCAACTAAAAATTTCCGGAAAAGACCAGCCCATCCGAATCCAAGAAGCTACTTATTCAATCAAAAAAAAAAAAAAAAAAAAAGATTCAGAATAGAATAACAATTACAATTTAAGCAATTCAAAAGGAGTAGCCTTAGGTTCAAATCCCACAAACTTCAACTTTGGTTTGTGGTTCTAATCGGTCAATCCATATCTGAATTGAAACTTTGAGACTCGAACCCTTGACCAATGATGGTGATATGTGTGTATTATGTTGAAAGTTTCTCTTTGTTGTATTTATTTTTGCAAGATTTTGGAAATAATATTCGTAAAAATTCACCTGAGTACTTTGGGTAAGCAACAAGGCTGCAAGAGGGTGGATTTCAGTGTGGTAAAAGGCTTTGACAATAGTGATAATCCCCACCGCATAAACCGAACTCGAACCCGCATTTGCTAATATAGTAATAAGAACATGCTCTTTTACGTTAAAAGGTCCCGGATTCAATGAAAATGACCATTTCGTCCCTGGAATTGTTATTCCTTTTGTGGGTAGACTTGCTGCCATTATTCTTCCAACAGGAAGAACCACGATTTGTGCTACAACCGAGGACACTGTTAGTTGATTCTGGCGATAACCAAAGAACTGGTTCAAGAAAGCTAAAACACCACAAGAAATGATCCCTAAAAACCATGTTCTGAAAGTTAAGCATGGAAGTGTTGGATCATCTGTTATAGGGACAGTGAGTCGAACTTGCTCAATTGGACAATCATTTACCTCTTCTGTAAATCAAAACAAAAGTATAATCATCATCAGAACCACACAAATTTATATAAAAAAGTTAAGTAATATATTTGATATAAAACTTTACCAGATTCTAAACGTGGTTTTTGTTTATGATTTTCTTGAAGATCCATGTTGAGCTACCGAAACTTATTACATGTTTATGAAGCTTTTATAGACTTCATAGATTTCCTCACAATGTTGTGTTAGCCTTGACTTATATTTTGTTCACATGGATCAAGACACATACAAAAATGAGGTGACGGAAAACCCTTTGTTTCATTGGACCTGTCTTTTTGTTGATCGGTATAAGAAGGATATTCACGTCTTTTGTCAGCAAATCAGAACATTCTTTTTGATGCTAAAAAATAAAAAAATAATAAAAATAAAAATGCAAATTTGTTCGCAGTCCATGCACGTTAAATTAAGTATTACAAAACTTAATTGTCCAACAAACAACAAACAAATATTACAAAACTTATTTGTCCAACAAACAACAAACAAATTAAGTATGAATAGAAATAATATTATGATAAACAATGGATGGATGTGCGTTGCTTGCAAGTACTTGCAAAGGTGTGGCGTCAGAACTTCAGAAGCCTGACTTGGTTGATATATATCAAAGACAGGCATATAAAACAAGAGGCATGAAGATCAAGTCTTTGTCCTTTAACTCTATGTGTACAAATTTCGTGGAACCGATCAATTTCTTATCTCTTTAATTCAATAATTACAAGGCAAGAGATATTTCGTATACGTTTTTTTTTTTTTTTTTTAAATTAGTAAATGAAATAAAGGTTATTGATATAATTAAATGAACATTAACGAAAAAAGAATGATTTGTTAGGCAATTAAAGTGGGAAAATTTGGTATTAGTGAGATATCGTCAATTATTTAAGAACGAGAACGAGTATTGTTACGGCAACTGGCCAACTGCTGCCGGATTGATATAACAGGTGAACCAATCAGCGAGTGAACTCCAATATTTAAGGATTCGAATTGTCGCAAATAATGGTTTATTTGGAAATGGAATCTTTCCATAATTTTGATTTTGGCCCTCATTTTCTTTAAATTCTTTTATGACATGTCAGTTGTCACTATCATAATTATAACGTAGGACACATAAATAGATATTTTATTATCTCAAGCCTAAATTGTTTACCCACTTTTTCAAAAAATAATCAATTACTTAGGACCCATTGCAAAATAGTTTTTGGTACTGCCGGGTCTTCATATAAAAAAAAGGTTTTTTTTGTTTTTTTTTTTAATAATATCGGTCGTAACTTAAGACGTTTTAATAATATAAATATCTTAAAATGGTTTTTGAATTTCGCAGTGTGGATTTTTTCTAAAAATATTGCAGTGATGAGTTCCATTACGCAATATGATTTTAAGATTTTTTATTTACCAAAAGAATATAGATTTAGATATTGCAGTGTTTTTATCATACACAACATATTATATATTATATAGTTATATAATAAAATATTCTAAAATATTCTAAAACACTAATTGTTGTGAAAATTTATGTATTATATAGTTGTAAAATACAACAATACAATATTTTATGAAAAATTTTCTTAATAATTAAATTTTTTAAAATCCAAATTGACTTTGATTTGTATTTTTCTTTGTATACAAGACTAAGAGTTGCTATTTTATTCAACCGCTTAATTAATAGGTTGTCACCATAGATGTTTATAGGTTGTCACCATAGATGCCATAAACCAGAACTTGAGTGAAACAAAAAGCTTGCCATTTTTTCTTGTGAAGATAATAGGTTGACGAAAAGATTTTCTTTCCAACGGAATTTATCATTATTCATGAATGTCAAACTACAATTATTTACCTCCTCGTGTTAATCCGTCTTTTGTTTGCTTCTATCACTGGCAACTAATGAAAGATGTTTTTTTTTATTAAATATTTCCAGTCAACTTATTTAATTTAATTGTTCATCGATAATTGTTTTACTTTTTATTTCTTTATTTCTTTAATATGTCAAACTATGTCATCGTACCTTAAACCAAAGTATCAAACAACAAAACACAAAACTAAAAGTGGTCCGATTTGAACTTTCAAACAACCATTTCGAATAATATCAAACTGTCAAATACAAATTATATTTATTATCTATCTATCTATCTATTCTAACTCAAAGAATGTCCATTTGTGAAGCATCCTTGGAATAAGTCTATACACTTTCTATGCTTTTACCAATGTGAACACGATAACATGAAAGAGAGTATTAATGCCTTAATGGACTTGAGGGCATCCCTCAACGTTAATACCAGGGGCAGTTGGGCAGCCAGCAAGAGGACAATGATCATCTATCTCCATACCCCACCATTTTGGTCCATTTATATCTCTAATTTGTAGCACAAAATAGCAAAGAATAGCCATGAATGCCACTCCTGCATCAAGCCCAGCTGATAAAATATAGTTATGCCTAGCCCACCACCCTTTAAACTTCTTATACACCACAAAGTTGAAAAAAATCCCCACAGCAAACCACATGTTGTAGTTTACAGCTCTAGTTGGTGGCATGCCACCTGGACCCGATATAAGAATTGGCATGTTTATGAGTCTAATCCATTTTCTATTGGGAAACTTTCGAGAAAGAAACCAAACTGGAAATGGTGCGAGAATTCCTAATAGAAAGAAGTAGTTCATTTTGGAGTATAGCCCAAGATTTCCAAACATACGTTGAGGTCCCACTACGCCCCATATGATTGAGGCGTTGTAGAACACATCATCTCCCGGGCAGGTCCATGGGCTTCCTTCGGGCAGCTTACTTGGGTCACAAATGTATTCGACAGTTGTCAATAGCCACCAAGAGGTTGCAAAGTAGACTGATGATGCGATTATTGTCCCCACCAACTTTATTATGCACCAAAAACAAGTATAAATTAGTTTTTTTGGTGCGTGAATACATAGTATACTTCGTTAACATAATTATAAAGATGGTATAGTTAGTTTATGCATTATGAAGATTTTAAAGTCTGTTTATTATGTGAAAACGGTGCTACAACATGCATATTCAATTAGATTACGATTTACCTGAACAATGAACATGGACTTTGGTGGGATTTTCATATAATGTCCAAGCTTAAAATCTTGGAGGAACATGATGGCTTGTGACATACTTATGTAGCCATATGTTTTGAAGGCCACATTGGCTAGTGGTTTCCCTGGGTAGATATAACCAATAATCAGCTCGGTAATGACATTTAATCCCGGTTGCTGTAAGAAAATTTCACTCTTAGTATACAAAAAAAAGATTAAGGAAAGATGTGAAAACCAATATTCATGTAATCATTAACTTTCTAGGGCTATTTTAGATGATGGGGATGAAAAGAGCATTCATGTCTTTTGCACAGACAATAGATCAAGAGCAAGTCCATGTTCCATATTTTTAGGTGTTCTATATGCCAAATGCAGTACAACAAATGGGGTCTCTACCATATTGGTTGTAGCTGTGATAACTCCTATTGGTAGTGTGAAGAGCAACGCCAAACCGATTCCTAAAAGAACTCCCCAGTAAGGGAGTTGCAACTGTCTGCCAAAACCCTCACAAGTTAGCAAAGCAAGTCCTATCACCAACACCAAAAGAGAGTAGAACCACCATTGTGGGACTGGTTCATAGTTCTTCTTCATTAGTCTAGTATGGACATCGCCGAACTTGTCTTTAAATGAGGCTGTTGTTTGCTCCCAAATTGTTCTGCAGATGACAAAAAAAAAAAAAAAAAGCGCATTTAAATACATCATGCTTGTATGAGCCCATGATTTATTTTAAACATGTATCTACATGTCAGGTAAGGAGGTAAGAATCCATATGTGAGGACTAAGTTTGACATCGCTCTGCTTTGAAAATTATTTTCTATTAAGGCATTATACTTTGAAAATTCCACTATATTATAACAATGTACTTTCAAATCCTTTTATTATATCAATGAAAGTTGCTTTCTGTGTGGATGACATTGTTATGGTTGGGTAAAATTCTCAAACTATAATGATGTAACAGAAAGAAATGAAAGTAAGACGGTGTAACAACCAATGAAAGTACATTGCTAGTTTTTGAATTTAACTATTCTTTAAATTTTGAAAAAATAAGGTTCTCGAAGAACTAATTGCATACCTTCCATGGAAGAGTGCGACATGAGAGAGTGTGGCAGCCAATGTGGCAAAATTTAGACCGTAAGCAAACGTGAAAAAGATGCTAAGATGGATTTGGCTATAATTGTTATATCCTTGTTTGTCAAATGAGAAGGTTGTGGAATTTAAAACTCTTGAAACGTTATATTTTCCACCTTGTGCATCAAACACATGAGAAGAGTAAATTGGGAACCGCTTGGCTTCATACCAATTATTCCAATAAGCAATGGGAACCATTATGTATACAACTATTATATAACCGGCTAATATGTTCATGATGGCAAACCCGGGGGTAGCTAATGGACTTCCAAGAAAAGCAGATACAGTCGCCCAATCGAGTCCAATGGCTCCAACTCCAAGGCCACGAAGACCGGAACCAATTTGTTGAGCCTTGACTGAGTCTTTCCATATCCAACAAACGAATGAGATGGCAGTTATGGATTGGAATAGATAATTGGGAATGATGTAGTATGCGAAGCTTGATACGAGGACTATTAGGAAGAATTGTAGCCTTGTCATGCCTCTTTTTGGCCTCTTTTCTTCATCGTGCAATGCCCTTAAAAAAGAGAAACTTTTGTGAGAAATCGGTAAAGAAATACATCTACATAGTCAGGGTGAGTACGGTGCAGTTCGGTTATATTCGTATATGCCTAAAATTTGGGGGAAAACATTTTGTCTATTTTGTCTTTGATTTGTTTTTTGGTTTTCTAGTTTATTTGTTGCATAATATATAGCAAAATATTACATGGACTTGTTTTAAAGCCAAAATCCATGAAAACATGAGGAAATTATATGTTAAACTTTGCAATATATGATAGTAGAAAGTATTCTAAAATCTATATCTAAATGCAAGAAATAGCAATGTACTCTCATTGATTTGTTTATTATAGCATCATACTTTAATATCTATTTTTATTACAACATTTTGAGAGCCCTACCCAATCATAAAGATCATGTAAATTCAAAGAATTTTCCATTGTATAAATGGATAGATTCCAAAGTATAATGTGTTAGAATTGGGTAGATTTTCATAGATCATCTTAATGTGGAAAGTTTGAAAGTGCAATCTTGTAATAGGAAAAATGGATTGTAGAATGTTATAATACACAAATAAACAGAATATGTTTTTCTTTCTTGCATTTAGCCCAAATAATTAATCAAGTACGGAAAACTTATATATTTTATAAAACGACATCGTATCTTAATACAATTCAATTCGGTTTTTATTTCGAGTTTAAACCAAAAGCCAAACAATCCGTTTTCAAAACGGATAGGTTTTTCTTCGCATTCTTCTCTCTCTCACACACACACACAAAAACAAAAAGATGAACCTGAAGAGGGAGACTTGAACGAGATTGGCTGGCCACCACATATATGGCGAATCGACTAAAAACTTTCGAAAAAGACCAGCCCATCCATATCCAAGCATCTACAATCACCATCAAACAAGAGAGATGAATCATTACTTCATGAAACTCAATATTGTACCATATTATAATACCCAAGCCCAAAAGCTATAGGCTAGCCCAACATCATTATAAAACCATGGTAAAAGTCATTTGCAACCCACAACTTAATTAATACTTATAATAGTCTCATA